CTTTTTACGTTGCACGGCTATAGAACGTCAGTTCACACTTCAATTGGGGAAACTCATTTCTCATTAGTTTATGGCATGGAATCAATACTTTTTGCTGAAGTTGAAATCCCCTTGTTGAGAGTCTTGATGGAGACTAAATTAGATGAGGCAAAATTGGTCCAAACAAGATTCAACCAATTGAACCTCATAGAGGAGAATCACATGATAGCTTTGTGTCATGACCAGCTATATCAAAAAAGGCTCAAGAAAGAAATTGACATGAAGGTTCTTCCTCGAGAGTTCAAGAAAGGTAACTTGGTGTTGAAGAAGATATTATCAATCCAAAAGGATTCACGTGACAAATGGACGCCAAACTACGAAGGCCCGCATGTTGTGAAAAAGGCTTTCTTAGGCACAGCCTTGATCCTTACGACCATGGATAGAGAGGAGTTTCCACTTCGAGTGAACTCTGATGCAGTTAAAAAATATTACGCCTAAGAAAAGTGGAGAATAAAACTTGCTAATTCGAAAATCCAAAAAGGCGATTTACGCAACAAAAAAAAAGACATCCCGGTGGACTAAAAACTCAAAAGAATGGTACAGGCAAAAATTAGGGATATAAAAAGAATTAAAGAAAAACCCGCTAAGTCGAAAACCTGAAAGGGCGACTTAGGCAAAAAGGACACCCCGGTGGACTAAAAACTCGAAAGAGTGGTCCAGGAAAAAGTTAGGTATTTCCAAAAAGGCAAATGACTACAACACACGAGCCTACACCACGACAGAAAATCCGATGGGAAGGATCAGTCTATTGATCATCTTAGGAAACAAATTATTGTGACTTTGAGGACATATAGAAGATAACACCTCTTTTAATCTAATGGAAATCCAAAAAAGTTCCCATTGTCATTTTATCTTTTCTACCTAGTAATTTCCTCTTATAGGAATTACATATTTTTATGGTCAGATTTCTCATCAAATAAAATATATTTATTGAGCCTTTTTTTATTATATTTGTTTTCTTATTGTTTGCAAAATGTTGGTTATTTTTTTATAAATAATGCATTAAAACTTTAGGAATAATAAAAAGCGCTGAAAAGACGTAAGTTGCTCTGATTTTGAAATGTCTAAGGGAGACCATCAGCTTACAATAATACATCCAATGCATATAACAGAAAATGTTTTGTAGGTAGCCACAACCTAATTAGCACATAAGTTGTTGTTTTGCAATAATAACAAGCAAGCAGCTTGCAAGTAATAGAGCAAACTTAAGGCACCAAGAACATCCATGTTTGTTTCACAACCTCAGAGTGGTCAAGAACCTGAGTTTTTGGAGAGTCAAAATTTCTCAATGAACCACATCTCATCCTTTGCAATCTCATAAAATACCAACCTCATTTGACAATCCTAAAGATAAAAATCCAATTTTTATTGGTACTCCAGATTTCAACCTTGCTTGGCCTTTTTCAACAAAAGAAAACCGAGCCCCGCTTAACATAATTACCTTAAAGTCCAATTTTCATTGGCATACAATCATTAACCTATTACATGCATTGAACATGCATTACCTTTCATGCATATCATATCCACATATTGTGGCGTACTACGCAAGGTAACCGAAGGCATATCATGCATTAGTAAATGCATATGTTCAAAGCATGCATGCATAACATAAGCTAAGATTCTGAGAATGCTCATGGAAGCATGGATTAATCCTTAGTTAATCCAGTTATGATTCCTCAATTGAGTTTTACCTCAGCAGGATTTCTTACTGGATAACCTAATAATTGATCTCCCTAATGAGTCTCCTTTGAATTTTTCTCCAGCAAGCACGCTCCCTAATGATTCCTTTATGGAATCCTTCCTAGTGGATGACCGTCTTATGCAACCCTAGTTAGCACAAATGGGTCTTCCCCGATGAACCTTGGTAATAGGTATCTCCAGTGGAACTTCCTTCGCCAGTTAACCCTAAGTGATTGCCCGATCTTTTGTCGATTAGCCTACTAGCGTAAGTGGTTGGAGTAGTTGATTGTATGATCTTTTGTCGATAAACCTAATAGTGTAAGAGGTTGGAGTAGTTGATTATCAGATCTTTTGTTGGTCAACCTACTAGCATAAGCGATTGAAGTAGTTGATCGTCCAATATTTTGTCGGTCAACCTACCAGCATAAGCGATTGGAGTAGTTGACTGTCAAATATTCTATCGCCTAGCCTACCAACGTAAGCGGTTGGAGTATTTGATCACCCGATATTTTATCGATCATCCTACCAATGTAAGCGGTTAGAGTAGTTGATCGTCCGATCTTTTATCGACCAGCCCACCAGCGTAAGCAGTTGGAGTAGTTAATCATCTGATATTTAGTCGATCGTTCTACCAGCATAAGCGGCTGGAATGGTTGATTGTTTGATCGTTTTTCAATCAACGTACTAGTGTAAGAGATTGGAGTGGTTGATCATTCGATCTTTTGTCGATCATCCTACCAGCGTAAGAAGTTGGAGTAGTTGATTGTTTGACCTTTTGTTGATCATCCTACCAGCGTAAGCGGATAAAGTAGTTGATTGTCTAATCTTTTATCGATTATCCTACCAGCGTAAGCGGTTAGAGTAGTTGATCGACTAATATTTTTTTGATAAGCCTACCAGCATAAGCAGTTGAAGTAGTTAACCTTAAATATTTTGTCGACCAGCTTACCAGCGTAAACGGTTGGAGTAGTTGGTTGTCCGATCTTTAATTGATCAGCTTACCAGCCTAAGCGGATGGCATAGTCGATCGTCCAATCTTTTATCGAATAACCTACCTGCTCGTCGATCTTTTGTTGATTAGCCTACCAGTGTAAGCGGTTGGAGTAGTTAATTGTTTGATCTTTTGTCAATCAACCTACTAGCATAAGCGGTTGGAGTAGTTAATCGTCTGGTCTATTTTCATTCATCCTACCAGCGTGAGTGGTTAGAGTAGTTATTCATTCGATCTTTTGTCGATTAGCCTACCAGCATAAGCGGTTGGAGTAGTTGATTGTCTGATCTTTTGTCGATTATCCTACCAGCGTAAGCGATTGGAGTAGTTGACCGTCTGATCTTTTGTGGATCTGTCTGCCATCATAAGCGGTTGAAGTAGTTAATCGTTTGATCTTTTGTCGATTAGTCTACCATTATAAGAGGTTGGAGTAGTTAACCGTCTGCTCTTTTGTCGATCAGTCTACCAACTTAAGCGGTTGTATTAGTTGATCATCCGATCTTTTACTAATCAGCCTACCAACATAAGCGGTTGGAGTAGTTGATTGTCCGATCTTTTGTCGATAAGCCTACCAGCATAAGCGGTTGGAGTAATTGATCGTTCGATCTTTTATCGGTCAGTCGATCTTTTTAAATCAAAGCAAAAATCAAAAGCATTTTTAACTCAAATTGAAATCATTTTTAAAATCAAAGTAAAATCAAACTATTTCCAACTTTATCAACATTAAGTCTTTTTCCGCTTAATCAAAAATATTTTCACAAATAAATCGAATGAAAAAGGACTAGTTGAGTGTATATATCTCTCTTTTGTTGGAATAATATAGCAAGTGTGAGTAAGTGGGAAAATAGTCTCACATTAGATAGGAATGTGAAGACTTAAGCATATATAATTGAGAGAATCCACACACCTATCACCTTAAGGTTTTAGGTGGATAAGTGGTGTGTCTCTCACAAAAGTGTATATTCCTATACTATGTATCGATGCTCCTAATAACTCCCATCAACATCTTTTCCCTGAGTATTTAGATTCTTGTTGTATAGCTTCTCTTTCGAATACTCATATTCCTCTTAAGACTTAATAACACAATCAAATGTAACTCGCCATTAATTGAATGAAAAAGGATTAATTATGTGTATGCTCTTACCTGTTGTATAGCTTGTCTTTCAAGTATTTGTCTTCTTCAAGGGACTTTAATTTGATTCATATTGAATACTTTTTGCAATAAAAACGGATGAAAAAAGACTAGTTGGATGTATATCCTTATTTTCTCTGAATATTTAAATACATGTTATATAATTTACCTTTCAAATACTTGTCTTCCACCTAAAAATATTTTCAATCAATCAAACCTATCTTGTTCCGCATTTACAAGACCAAAAACTTTTTCGTATCACTTAGGTATCAAAAAATTGTTGTCGAGTGTACTTCCACCAAATTTGAAAAAGGTAAACGAGAGTGTAAAAAAATATTCAATCTCACTTATTTATTCTTAGATGCATTTTATAATTTCCTTAATTTACATAAGAAAAACATGCCCTACCCTGTCCTTTATAAATGCAAACACCACTTATTAATTCAAAGTTAAGATTTATAGCTATTGAATTCAAATGTGGTTTTCCCATAAAATTTATTGTGCAACTCATTTAATGTATATATGCAATCATAAATATTCTCATTTAATGTATATATGCAATCATAAATCAATATATTTTAACCTACTACTATATTGATTATAATGGAATGCTTTTCTATAGGCTTGTTAGATATATCTATTCATTGATCCGTGACGTTTCATTCATGATTTACAAGTTAGACAATAGAAAAACATTATAGCTAATAATTGCAAACATAACATGAGACATTTTGAATCTCGCTGATGTGCCTTGGTGGAACATGTGCTTCCTCAAGTGGATTCGATTCTCCAAGAAGATGCTGTAACTTAGTCTGCTTTGTTCATACCCCAAAGATGTTGCTATTCTCTTTAATAAAATTGGTTAAATTTGTTCTAGTATAAACAGAAAAAGCTCAAGATATGTGGCTTCCGAAGCCTACAATTAATCTCATAAATCATAGCTAGAAGAAGAAAAAAAAAACTGTTTGCACCACTGTATTTGTGTGATGTTTAAAACAACTAAATTCAGAAGCCAAAGACAGAATATGCATGTCAATAGCAGTACTCAAAAGACCTTTAAAAACCCTAAGGATGATATATGTTCAATAACTCCAAAAAATTACTTTGAAGTATGAGTTCAACCAAATCCAATAATGGAGTTGATAGGCCGTGCAGCAGCTAAAACGATGTCAAACGGGGAGGTTTCTGCGTAGTCTCACCTTGATACATCAACCTGCGCTTCTTTGAAGCACCTTGGTACTGGTAGATGATGCTGTAGAGACACTGCCTAAGAGTTAGGATGTCAAACATCTCTATAAATGTTAAATCCGCTGTCCTGGATTTAGCACCAGCATATAGCTGATACTCCTCAAACACAGAAGACAAACACCAATTCTGAATCTTTCTGAAGCAACCAACTAAGCAACCTGTTCTATGCTGCATTAGAGAAGAAAAATCATCATTAGAATAAACAATTATGAATCCAAAACCATAGAGAAATTGACAATTGAGAAGATAAACTTGTAAGTTGCAAGTCAATCTTATACCTTTCCTCGTTTGCAATGAATCAAAACAGGGTGATTTCTCACATCTGAAACCAGACAAAATTAAAGAATTAAACATCTAATAAACAAGAGAAACACCCAAATAACAACAAAGTTGAATGAGCTTGTTTCAAAAATTAATATTCAAGTTTATTACCAAGTAAAACTTTCAAAGCCTCCATAATTGAATCCCTGAGAATAGGTAAAGAAACTTCCTGCAGATATAATACAAAGATTCATCAACTCTCAAATAAAAAAGAGAAAACCAAAACCAAAAACGAGTCAACAATCCACATAGGTCAAATTTCATGATCATTATTATAACTAACACCAACCCATTTTTATGATAAACCCTAAAAATTCCCTTTTCCCCTAATTATACAATTAAACCTTAAACCCTAATCTAATAATCTGCAAAAATAAAACAATCACAGAAAAAATTGAATCTTTGAATGAAATTTTCATCAACAAAATTCAATTCAAAACACCATACATTGAAATAGCATAATAAACCCCAAATTCCCTTTTTTTTCCTAATTATACAATCAAACCTAAAACCCTAATCTAATAATCTGCAAAAATTAAAACAATCACAGAAAAAAATTCAAACTTTGAGGCAATATAAATATACAATCACAAACTTCAGAATGATTCAAACAATCACAAACTTTTTAACAATTATTAAAATCCAATTCAAAACATCATATATTGAAATTGAAATAACATGATTAAACACATATATGATGATATGAATATAAAAAAATTACCGTTTTCCCCTCAATTCCAAATTGAAATAGGCGAATATTCTGTGACTTTAGGAACTCCAAATTCTCTTCCGGATAGGGTTCAGGACACAAGAATCTGCATCAATTTCAATAAAAAAAGCCTTTTTAATCATAATTATTCATAAAGAATGAAAAAAAAAACATAGAATTTTTCAGGAATCAGAGAAAAAAAGAAAAAAGAGATACGAATCTTGAAAGAGAAAAAAAAAAGAACCTACATGATGGAACGAAGGTTTAGCGTTTGAAGAAAGGGAAAATTGGGAGGCTGGGGAAGGCTAGATCGGTAAATGCAATCTTCCACCATGGAGAAATTAGGAGGTGGAATCAAAACGTCGTCGTTTTCATCAACGGTTTCAACTTCTACTATGAGTCCCATTATGAAAAGAGAATCAAAAAAGGACTCAGAATCTGTATAGTGGTAATTGAGATTCTGATATTACGTGTTCAATGAAAAATCCATCTTCTTCTTATAAGAAGAAGAATGGGGATTCTGAAAACAGCGTCGTTTTGAATATGAATTGTGAGTTCGGCTTGTTTTTCTGAATCTAAAAACCGTTTACATCTAGATTGCTATTGGCGGGTGCGCGGAAAGCGCAGCGAATATTGGGATTAGTTAATTAATCAGCCAAATCTGTTTCTTTATTATTTTTTTAATTATGAATTTTCGTGAACTAGTGGGAAATTGTTTTTTTTTTTTGTTTTTTTATTTTCATTTAAAATAAATGTATCGTATAATATAAAATAGAGTAAGAAAATAATTTGATTGATATAGTGAATTATCATAAAATAATTGGAATATTTTTTTATTTTGTATATAGAAATTAATTGATTCGTGTTAGGCTGTCAGCAATGATTTTTGTCCATAATTATAAAATGAAAATAGTTTTCTTTAATAGTGATTTGAAAAAACTAACTAACTAAAAATACGTTCTTTTCCATAATAATAGCAATGTCAGTAATTTTAATTATACACGGAAGTATTTGAAAAGTTAACTTACTGTGGCCGATACATATAAAAATGATGCATAAATTTTTTTTTTGGAATAATTATATTTTTAAATTAATTATGAAAATAATTGTTTTTAAATTATTTACTTAAATAATTGTATGCATCATTCTAAGTGAAGCTTATGCACAATTTTTATATATATGTGTTACTTTATATGATACTTATGCACATGAAAAAGTAATGTGTCATATCCTAAATAGTGCCTATACACAATATTTATATGTATATATATTATTACGTTATGGCTCTTATCTATATTTTAGTTTTTCATAAATATTATTTTTATTTTTTATCATTTTTCATATTTTTTTTAATTTTTTCGACAAATTATAAAAGTGTCGTGATACGGAACTGATGACCGTTACGATAATTTTAGATATTTGTGAATAGGAGTCACATCAATACTATATATATTATAGTTTTTTTCTAAATTTATTTATTTGAATAAATAATTTGAAATTTTAGTTACTTGAATAATTAATTTGAAATATTTGATTATTCAAAAAAAAATTTCTAATTTTGACATATACCTATATGAAAAGTTAATACGTAATGTATTCCATATGAACGCATGCAACGTGGCTTTTTTAAGCCGGTCCACAACTATTATTATATTTGAGCAACATAAGCATATTGATAAAAATATTTAATTTAGGAGTATAAATTAATTTTGGAATCTTTGATAATTTGATTCAAAGGTATCAAATTATTTTTATATTCATATGATACAGTATTTTATTTTATTTTTATTTTATTTTATGAAATTCAATCTAGTATCACATAAGCAAACTTTCTTGAAGAATAACCATAGAATAATATCTTAATTGAATTATTTTATTTTAATTTATTTAATATGACATAATTTAAATTTTTTTAATAAAAATAAGTTATGTTATTTTTCAAAATAGTTTATAAAAATAATTCAAATATATATATATATATATATATATATATATATATATATATATATATATATATATATATATATATATATATATATATATATATATATATATATATATATATATATATATATATATATATATATATATATATATATATATATATATATATATATATATATATATATATATTCTTTATTTTTTTAACAATCCAATATCTGATGAATTCTGTTTTACAATAATAAAAAGAACTGATATTAAAGGATTAAAAAACAATATCGTTATGAACGCTTAATTATTATAAATCAGTTATTTTTTTCATATAAATTTTTTTTTATTTTTTTATTTTTGTATAAAATTAAATTTGTACAAACTTATTCTTAAGTGTTTATTTATTTATATTTCGTAAGCGTTAATCAAAATAAATGTTTGTGTTATAAAATTTAAATAAGTTTTATGTTATCAAAATAGTTTTTTAATCTATAAACTTACTCCTTTTAATGTTAGAGATGCTCTGACTAATATCTTATTTTTAGGATGTTATTGTTGGTTATGCTCTAATTAATATTAATATCTTACTTTTAGAATGTTACTGTTGGAGATGCTCTAATTAATATCTTATTTTTACCATTTAATACTATTTTAACTTATGTAGTTGTGTCTAGCTTTCACGGATCATCACGTCTTTGATTTTTAATATTTTGAGACAAATTCTTTTTGCACGTTGTAATAAATGCCGTCTACAAGTTTCTCTTCAAGGATCAAGGCCGAATTATGCTTAAAAGGCTATAAAAGTTGGTGAAAACGCCACGAGTCATTTTGTGATTTAGAATGTTCTTAACTCCTAAACTTAGTTCATGCCCTAATCGTTTCCTCAAGACATCTGCTCTTATGATGAGATCATTCATGGTATAAAATGTTGGGTACGGAGATTTTTGGATAGTTTGTTGATTAGTTCAAGTCATTGGTGTTTGAAGCATTGGTGATTATTTGAATTAGAGTGGATTTTTGACTAATATTCTCGAAGAATTATTGATTCTTTCAAGATTGATTCAAGGATTCAATTGCATTCATCATTTTAAGATATTCGGGCTAATCACGATTGAAATATCCTCTTTCAAAATCAAACTTCATTCATGTGGACAATTTTGAACCATACATCATTCAATTCATCATCATTTCAAATTCAAATTTCTTTTCAATAAATGGTTTGTGTCAAGTATTTCATATCCGGAAGAATTTACCCGAAACTCAAAGATTCAATTCTAATTCAATGATCATCATCCAAGTTTTCAAACAAACTTCAAAGTTCCATCGATTTATGTTACAAAGGAACAATTTTAGGATACACTTCAAAGTGGATTACAATTTAAGATACACATCACAATTGTTTTGTTTACAAAAAAAATAAATAAATAATGCTTCTTCAATCTTCTCTTGCTTCATCTTCAAGAAACTCATTCACTCTTCGCTATGGCCTCTTCGTCTTTCAACCTTGATCGCCCAATTCTCATTTGCTCATGAAACAAGGAAAAGAAAAGTTACCAAGCATGAAAAATTCAAGAACTTTTGTTTAGAACAAATTTTATCTCATCATTAAGGTTTGCATTTTGGAATCAGAAATCAAGAGGTTTATTGGTTTAATCACAATCCACCTCTTCCTATTTTGCAAATCACAAAAGAAAAAAACTTGGATTTTGGTTCACAAAAAAGGAAAAACTACAAAGGCAGCAAGTAAAGTTGCAAACAAACAGCCAAACTGCCCAAGGCTGCAAATAGAAAACAGCAGCATCAACATAAAAACAAGTCAAACTGCATCACAAAGGTAGCAGGCAGCCACAGTCCAAACAGCAGGCAGCAGCTCAGCCCAAGGAAAAACAAAGAACAGTAAGGCCAAAACAAAAAAAAAACAATAGAAATAATTCACAAAACAATGCAAGCTAGCATTGATTCATAGCCCTTTATGTCATCATGTTCCTAGTTTGCAAACCTTTTAGAGTATTGTGTGAAAAGAAAAAGGCAAAAATTGCCTTATATCATAGAGAGGCAAAGAGGAAAGAAATCACCTAGCATACAACAATCCAAAACATGTGTAAAAGGCCAAAATAGTCTGCTATCCTGTACCAAATAACAACTCTACACTATTGTCCATAGCAGTCTGAAAATCTGCCCCAAATCTGTCCAAAACAGTCCAGTAGTTTGTACAAAATCGAAACAACAAAAACTGTATCAGGAAAGTGTAAAAAAGGATTATATCATAATTCAAAGGGTTGATATTTCCCCCTCTTTTTTTTCATTTCTGTTTCAATATAAGAGAGTCAAAAAGAACCAGCGAGGAGGGAGCAAAAAAAAACAAGATCAAAAAACCAAAAACTAAACATCAGAATCCGGATAGATCCTTCCCATGCAACCAAATATATTCACAGCAAGCTTAACATAACTTTAAGGGCCGCCAAACTTAGTTCTACAACAAAATCACAGTAACCTCCACTTTTCTCTCAACTCACCTTCACCTTCTCTTATCTCTTCGCCATTACCCGTCTCTACAACCTGCTTCATCACAAATATCCATCGCCATTCATCTTCTTCTATGAACCACCACCCCTAACATCGTCGTACCTCCCTCATTTTTGCTCAATATTCCCCACTGCAACAACAACGTTCAAATCAACACTGATGCAAACAGATCAAGAAGATTGGAAATAGATTTGAAAAAAGAAAGTTAGAAGGAAGAAGGAGAGACCGAACGATTCAACCTGATTTTGCAAAGTCCGATTTCTTGACATTGTAATTTCATCAAAAGGACACCAGACCGCCTCTAATCGGTAAGCTTCAAAATCCCACTTCCTTTTTTGAGCGTTTTTTCTTTTTCTTTCGTTGAAAGTATTGGTAATGATACTGTTATGGACACTTGTTGGGGATAAGGGTTTATAGTTGTTTGTTTGAGCTTGCAATTTTCGATTTACTGTCTATGGTGGGAAATTGATTTTATTTAAAGAGAGGAAGAAGATGAAGCAAAAATGGAGTTTGGGGTTTTGTCTTATCGTGAAAACAAAGAGAGGAAAAATATATGGAATGATAAAATAGAGAGAAAGTTTATAACTTTATTTTGTTGGAATAAAAATTAATTAATTAGGACAAAAAAATAATAAATAACTTTTTTCTCTCTTCCTAACGAGGGCTCATCCGCGACACCTCATTCTCTATTACATCTAAGGTTTCAAAAATTTTCTATCCCCTCTAACACAATCCGGGTTGGGCTTGCTTTGTTTGGCCCAATCCAATTCTAGAACTCCACTTTTTGTATTATTAGGAAGATTAGAATACTGAATGGTCAGTTTGGTGCAGTGGTTGAAAAAATTCTTTCTAAATGTAAAGGCCTGGGTTCGAGACCCCCCGGGCTTTTTCTTTTTTTTCTTTTTTTTTTCTTTCTTCTGTTTTACTTCATTTTGTGAACAAAAAGAA